TGTCGTGGGGATTGAAATGAACCCACTGCCGGCAGAACTGAGGTTCCTTGGGAGTGACAGGTTCCATATTAAAATGCTTTTAGTGGAACCGCGGTCGTGTACCGGGCATGTAGCAAGCGCCTTGTCGGCACAACAACACGAGGGGTAGCTTCTTTGTCGTTCCTGTGTTACAGAGAAGGCTCGAGAGTTACTTCCTAACGTCCCTTCCAGCTAATGGGAGGCCAGCCCAGGCTGAAAGCTCAGGGTTTTGAAAGTAAAGGGCATCGAACCACCAGGGCTTACGTGTTGTCTCTCTCTGCAGCACAGGGTAATTTGCCATGTGTATAGGGTGCTGTGCAAGCCTGCCTCAGGCCTGCCTTTTTATTACTGCTTTTTTGCTTTTTTTTAGTATCCGCAAGGCCCCCATGGTGCTTTTCAGCCGATGGGACTCGCCCTCTGAGAGCTTAAAGGCACCTTCTGTGTACATTTTTCCGTGTTGTCACGGTTAGTTGTAAAAACTGAACGCTGTTAAGTGCTTTGTGAACCATTACTCTTGAGTCGATATGTTTCTCTGCATAACACAACCACGAGCGCCTGGCTGAGCGACTTAGTAACTGGCCGCTTATCAAATGCATTTTGAGTGGATGAATGGTGCATCTTAGTCCAGTGGAATACGTCTTAGCATATTCTTGAGTAAAAAGGCGTGAGTTACCCAGGGTCGTAGTTGGTCAAGCCAACGCTGAGCCCTAGATCTTACTCAGTCGGCAAGCATACTCAGTGTGTGCCATGTCCCGGGCACTGGGTTGGGCTGGGCTGGACACAGGGGCTGCTGGTAGGCTCCAGGCAGCAGGTTTTGTTCCCTCCTGTGCCACATTCTGTCGGGCAGTACTGGAGTCATTTTTGGAACGGGCTGCCCCAGGTCTCTGTTCAAGGGCTTCTGCCTCCAGGTCAGTGTTGTGAAACTTTCTCCAGAGGTGGCCTGGAGGCCAAGCAGGTGTGGCAGTTCTGCAGCAGAAGCATCTGCCACAAAAGCGGAAGATGACTCTTTTCTCCGGTGGGTCCTGCTCCTCATCCCCGTGACTGCTTTTGGCTTGGGGACATGGCAGGTAAAGACCCGCACCTGGTGGGGTAACTCTGGGCCCTTGACCCTGCTGCCATCTGCTTGGGCTTAGGCTCTGTCACTGTAGGTCCAGCGTCGGAAGTGGAAGCTGAACCTGATTGCAGAGTTGGAATCTAGAGTTCTGGCCGAGCCTGTCCCTCTGCCCGCAGAGTAAGTGTGTGGTTGCGCCCCTAGGGCAGATCTCACCTGAGTTCAACAGCGGAGCCCTGGCTTCTGCTGGGCGGCCTGCCCCTCTTGGCAGGACTTTTAGTCACTTCCTTCACCTCAGATGAGAGCTGTCAATATCATTCATCCTGTTGGGCTTGTTGTTGACACCTGACTGCCCTTGTGAAGCTACCTGAGGCCGCCTCCTGACATAGGGAGGAAAGTCTTATTTGGGGTCCTGTGTGTCACTCTTTTTTCAGGTGTAGTGAACTTATCCTCCACAGGGCCCAAAGCCCTGTAGGTCTCACCGTGAGGGTGGTCTTTTGAAAAAGTGCCCTAAATGATTTGACTGCCCTCTCCCTAGAATATACCCTCAGACAGGTATACCCAAGCAAATGTTCCATTCAGCATAGCAGACGGGATGCCAGATTTGGCTTGTGGATGAGGTTTTGGCCCACATGTTTTAAAAAATTTCACATAAAATATGCATTGAGGAGTCCAGATTTTTAGCTTCTTGTAAAGTTGGACTCTGGGAGCGCAGAGCCACATTCCCACATGGCATCAAAGGGCCAGTTTCCCTTTGGCGAGGATGCCCTTTACCTTTCTCCTTTCCTTGTCTGGCCCTGGTGGGCTGTGTAGTCTGTCACCCACATTAGGGGATTCGTTTTCCGGCCAAACGTTGCTCGGGCACTGTTCTTGTCTCCATGCAGCCCAGTGGAACTGAAAAATCTGGAGTATAGGCCAGTGAAAGTCAGGGGGTGCTTTGACCACTCCAAGGAGCTGTATATGATGCCCCGGACTATGGTGGACCCTGCCCGGGAGGCCCGGGACGCCGGCCGCATCTCCTCCTCAGCCGAGACTGGGGCCTATGTGGTCACTCCCTTCTACTGCGCCGACCTGGGGTGAGTAGGGCGTGGGGGAGCTGGCTGTCCTGGCAGAGCCAGTCAGGGTGTACTAATGTACATCGCTAGTTCCTTCACAGTCCCTAACCTGGGTAAGACCCTGGGAAACCCAAGATACCCAGAAGATTCAATTCCTCGCATAGTTGTTAAAATTCCTAATTGTGACATTGACTTAAACTTCTCAGCCAGCTCATTTATGACTGAACAATTTCTGTATGTTGACCTCTGAAGGGGAAGGAGGGATTCATGAAACGGGGACCCCTTCTCTGGAGCAACTCTCTAGTGGCCCACACGTTAGATGATGGTGGGGTATGAGGAGGGGCCAACGAGAGGAACTCACGAGAAGGGATCCCAGCCCTACCTTGAGGGAGTGGAGTCAGGAATGGCTCCCTAGGGGACCATTTGGCAGTTAAGAGATGGGAAGAACATTCCAGGCAAAGCAAATGACAGGCACAGGAGCACCTGTGTGATTCAGAGGACCTGGAGGATTAATGTACAAATGAAAATACCTGGGGCCCTTGTTAGCCCATGGGTTCCGGTTTTAGGCCCGGGATGGGTCGGTCCCAAATCCTCCATCTCCAGCAGGCTGGGATGCCAGGGCTTCTCCTCACGGCTGCCACCTCTGTGAGGAGGGATTGGAGGCAGCCATTGCTAGTTCAGGGAGGTGGTGTGGGGTCTCAGCTCTGGCATGTCAGTGTTGGTCACCAGTTGCACGTTGCAGTGGGAGAGCACAAGGAAAGCAGCAGAGATAGAGGGGAAAGCCACATTGGTAAAAAGTGGTGAGGTGGCAGGGAAGCTTTTACCAACCAAAGGGCCTCAGGAGAGGAAGACTTTGTGTGGCACTGCCAGGGCTCCACTGAGCCAGTCCTGTTTTAAAAGACTTCCTTGGTGCTGTAGTTGTTCCTATGGGTGCCTGAGTAACCATGAGTGACGGCGTTTATTCAGAGACCCACCCCACCTAAACAGCACTTTCCTTACCCTAGAATCACCATCCTGGTAAATAGAGGGTTCGTTCCCAGGAAGAAAGTGAATCCTGAAACCCGGCAGAAAGGCCAGGTAAGGGACATGGACCCTTCCTACTTTAGGGAAGGCTCTGGGAGTCAGCCAGGCTCCATGGTTTCTCACCTTCCTTTATAGATTGAGGGAGAAGTGGACCTCGTTGGGATGGTGAGGCTGACAGAAACCAGGAAGCCTTTTGTCCCCGAGAACAATCCAGAAAGGAACCACTGGCATTACCGGGACCTGGAGGCTATGGCCAGAATCACAGGCGCAGAGCCCATCTTCATTGATGCTGACTTCAGTATGTTGGGACCAGCTCACCCCACAACAAGTAGCTTTTGTGAAGACTGTCCTTCCTCCTCCTAACCCTCATCACCCAGTCCCTGCTGTGGCATACATTCTCACACGTGCGTATGGGGGATGTGGCAACTCAGCAAAGGGAACCTAGCTAGGCAAGTACTGAGGGGTCAAGGCCAAGGTAAAGGCCACACAGGATTTCCAATTAAAATCACAGCCACTAGGAAGTAGTGCAGAGGCTGGCAGGCAGCAGAGTGTGGACTTGAGTCCACTGTCTCTGCAGAAAGCACAGTCCCCGGAGGACCCATTGGAGGGCAAACCAGAGTCACTCTGAGGAATGAGCATCTGCAGTACATCATAACCTGGTGAGTCCCCAGCGGCCCTCTGGCTCCCTCCCCTTCAGCCCAGCAGCCCACTAACACTGGCTTTCTTACAACCCCAGGTATGGACTCTCTGCAGCTACATCATACCTGTGGATTAAGAAATTTGTACGTGGAACACCTGGTGTGTGAGACCAGCTGCTAAAGCCCTATCCCTGAATAATGACGTATTTGAAAACATTACCTTTATGCTGGATCATGTGCTCTTGGGATAAATAAAACTTCTGGGCCTTCTACCTTGCATGAGCTCGTGACTACCTGATTATAAAATCCTGACTTTGTTTCAGTCAGTTCAAAGAACTTTCCCAAAACTTAACGTGAAAATTACATCTCTAAGGAACAAAGTGCCTGGTTTAAGAATGTCTAAGGGTGAGAAAGAAGGGCTGGGTACAGCGGCTCAGTTGAGGTCAAGAGCTGCAACCAGCCTAACACTGCAAAACCCCGTCTCTACCCAAAACACAAACATCAGCCAGGTGTGGGCCTGTAATTCCAGCCAATCAGGAGTCTAAGGCACCAGATTATCCTGAACCCGGGAGGCAAAGGTTGCTGAGATCACGCCTCTGCACTCCAGCCTGGAGGACAGTCAGGCTCCTTCTCCCCCCACCCCCCCCCCCCAAAAAAAGATACTTGCTAACCCCAAGTAAGATTCAACCCAAGATACCAACAGACATCGGCTGAAGGAAAAATTTGTATCATTTAAATTATTTTTATTTACAGCAAACTCTACTATGTACATTTCACCCCGAATCACTTTCAAGTTCTTTGGCCTTTCCTTTTTCCAGGCTTGGCGATGTGAGCCACAGACTTGGGACCCAGGACGTTGCCTCCCCAGTGACAGCGAATCTGAAAACACAAAAAGAGGGAGTCAGCTTAGCCTCTTGTTTTCTGAGATTTTCAAGGATACTGCATAGTTCTGTTGGGCTGTTCCAAGCTGATCGCCAAATAGAACTGCTCATACGTTAAGCCAGCCAGTTGTTTGGGAAAAAGATTAGCACATGACAGTATTTTGTGTGAAGCTGCTCTTACCTCATCCTATCTGTCACTGCAGTCTGTCCTGACAGCTCCCACAGGCTCAGCCAAGGCGCCTTTGTCTTCCCTAACACGGCAGGAGGGAAAACGAAAGTGGGTTTTTGGCCTCTCTGTTTCCCTTTTGGAATGTGTAAGTGTCTTCATTTTTAGCTCAAAACAGACTTTTGCCTCAGATGTAATGTGACCACACGGTTTATTCAGGTGAAGAAATTCTTAACCATCATTGGCAAAAGTTCAGATGAATGTATTTCTTAAAAGATCGGCCTTTGAGGAAAACAACTGTGACGCGTGTATTCAATGCACTGGGGAAGTCTTCGGGCAGGCCGTGTACTTATTAACTAGGGTAAATGCGACAGTGGTGCAGATCTTCCTGTGGACGAGACGTCCCAGTCTTGCCTTCCCTTTGATAGTACAATAAGGGACTCCCATTTTCTGACACAGGGCAGGCAAGAAGACCACCAGCTGTAAGAAAGCATTAGCTGAAGAGTATTTGGACCAAACGCAGTACATTTCAAAGCTAGCTCGGCAGCAACTGCTCAGGGTTAAAAAGCTCATGGATTTCCACTTCAAGGTTGAATTCAGTGAGAGATTCACATCACTGCAAGAGCAACGCATTGAGCTGCATCCCTTGGCAGTACTGTCCTCACCCACCCACTTCCGTCTCGTCACTGACCCATCATTAGGCCTACTCTCTTCCCGGACTGACAGAAGCGCTTGCATTAGCAGTCAACAGGCAAACACACCTATCACCGCCAGATGGGCTTTCTTATTTTCCACCAAGGCAGTGACGGTGTTAACTCCTAGAACACACAATCACTGTGAGCATTCACGGGGCCCGCGCTGGTCACAAGCAGCTGCTGGGCCCAGGTGTTGACTCAGTGTTAAAAAACTCGCTTTTACTCTTCAGTCATTTCAGGTGAAGAAATTCTACATCACTGCAACAGCCGGCACCCAGTGTTCACCCTAAGGTGGGGTCTACTCACCCGCTCGAAGGACAGGCGGTCTGTTGATGGGGACATCTCCTTTGCCGGCAGCTTTCTTCTCGGCCCGGGGCCAACACCCTCTGCTTCTTTTCTTGCGCTCTCTGGCCTATACTTCTGAGCCAGCTTTAGCAGCTCAGTAACTGGGAAAACACTCCAGTTTAGGTTTGTAGTCAAGGTTCTACTCCTTAACAGTTAATGTAAATGCTAGATCGCTGTCCTGGTATATAAGGACTATAATGACACTGCAGTTCAAGAAACTGAAGGCCGTTCACCCTCATGATCTGGATGAAATAAGCAATCATTGATTTTAACTCATCAGCCTCAAAGTACCCCTCCCCCCCACCCCGGAAGACTCAGATATACAACTGTCAGACTTCAGTCTTTGCCTGAGAAACTCCTTTCCAGGTCACACAACCTCACCTGTTTGGCGGTCCAGGGCCTGGGTGAGCTGGTTAACGGCAGGAGGCACTTTCAGCCCTTATAAAGGATGGCGCTCTGCCGCGGCAACCTGATACAGCTGGGCCATTTCAAAAAGTAGGTGAGGTCTCTTTTCGGTTGGACGGCCCGTCCTGAGAAATAAAGGGCGACATCGACCGAGTGAGGCTCAAATTCCGTGTCAAGTTCATGTCTGGGGCCCCTCAGAAGGGTGTTGGTGCATCAGCGATCTTGGTGGTTTAAAACGTCATCACCGTCTTTCAGATAGCAAATATTCTTTTACATCATCTGCACACAAACACCTGAGAACGCGATCGAGAATACGACGCCTTTCCTAACAAGAAGCCAAGGTGCCACCAAGCACAGCAGAATTGCAGTCCGAGGGCCACGCTGGGACAACACTATTGTACTTGTTTTCGGATGGCCAAGCTGAATCCAAGGCCGCTACCCTATTCGGCCGAACGCTCACTCAGCAACTCCCAATGAAAACGAGAGACGGGCACCATCACTGCCCGTCTCTAAGGGACACAAGTTGAGCACTGAGACCACTTCACACCCACTAAAACCTACAGGATCCGACTCAACCCCATGACCACATTTCCTTGGGAAAAAACGTAGACCGTTTTCATTCTACCGTTTGTTGCTCACCAATACCGCAATTCTTCGGCCTGTGCTCAAACACGGGATTCGCCACTTTCTCGGCCTCCTGCTTCTTCACGACAGCAGGGGCCGGAGCCACCTCCTCCCCCTTGGCCTTCTCTCCTTTCGGCTGGACACAAAGAAAATCCCGGTTAATCCGCCGCCTCCTTCGTCGGGAGGTCTCAGGCTGGCGCCTTCGAAGCAAGGGGCGCCGACGGCCCCTGGCCGAACCAGGCGGGCGAGCTGCGTGCTGAAGCCCCCCGGCGCCCCCCCAGCCTGTGCAGCCGCGGCCTTGGTTGCCGGGAACGTCCTCGCCGTGCCTCGGCAGGAGCGTCTCCCACCGGCCGCACGAGCACGCAGCGCACGGAGCCCGAGTGGCCGGAGCCCGGCTAAGGCCAACGCCACGCGCTCTTCGCGTCGCCCACGGAGGAGACGCCCCGGACGGGACCCAGGACGCCCGAGCCGCGGCCCCGCAGGCTCCACAAGCAGCAGGTGCGGCTCGGAACTCGTTGGTCAAAGGCTCTGCGGCGGCCCTGAGAAGAACCAGGCGCCGCTCCCTAGTGCTCCGAGCGCCTCCGCCCCGTCGGAGCCCCGCGCCGCGGCGCTCCCGGCCCCCCTCCTCCAGCCCAGCGGCAGCGGGACCAGCGCATCCCGCTTCCGGCCGCCCAGGGCTTTAGTCCGTCTCAGTGTCTCCGTGCCACACGGGGTACGGCTCTCCTAGAGCTAGGCGGAGCAGGAGGCCCTGTGAGGCCGCGCCTAGAGGAGGATGGCAGCGGATGAAGTCGGGACCCGGATACGGTGTAGCAAAAGGAAACGTCACTCACCATCTTGGGCAGCGGGAAAAACAAAACGGAATTCTGGGTGATAAATATGCCGCATGGCTGATCGCGAGAGTTCAAGCCGGCGCGGGATTTCAGATTTAAAGCAACAGGACTCCTATACACCTAAAAATCCAGGCGGGGCGGAGAACCTGCGGCGGCGCACTCGGTTTTCGGACTGCGGAGCGACGGGAACACCCAGTGTGGGCCGAGAGACTGCGGCGGGCGGGCCCGGCCTGGGGAGTGGCGCGGGAAAGTGCGGGTCCCGGAGGCACGTCCACCCCGCCCCGGGCCGACCCCGCGGTTGCGGCGTCTGGTGCGTGGGCGCTGGGTGGGGGTGAGGATGTGGTGGGCGCTGGGGACGGAGGTGTGTCGGGGGTGGGGATGTGGGTGGGGTGGGTTGGTGGGTGGGTGGGTCGGGGGGGCTGGGGTCAGGGGCCACGTTATCACGCGTGACTTATTTCCCCCATCCCGCCAAATATGGGCGCGAACAGCGCGAGTGCGTCCGGGAGTCCGCTCGGCCTCGCGCCAGGCCCCGAACCGAGGGGGCCCCAGGCCCTCCCCGAGCACCGCGCGCAAAGACCCGGCCCGAGGGCCAGGCAGGTCCAGCGCCGAGGCCGCCCGGTGCGGCTGCAGGGCAGAGGCCGACAGGCGCGCGTCCCGGCGTACCGAGCAGCCGTGAGGCCTGTTAAGAGAAGGAGTGGAATGACCCCTTTTTTTCTTTTTGAGACAAGAGTTTCCCTCTGTCACCCAGGCTGGAGTGCAGTGGCGCGACCTCGACTCTGCAGCCTCCGCCTGCCGGGTTCAAGCGATTCTCTCGTCTCAGCCTCCCGAGTAGCTGGGATTACATACGCCCGCCACTACGCCCGGCTAATTTTCGTATTTTTGGTACAGACGGGGTTTCACCATGTTGGTCAGGCTGGTCTCGAACTTCTGACCTCTCAGGTGATCCGCCCGCCTCGGCCTTCCAAAGTGCTAGGATTCCAGGTGTGAGCCATCACGCGCCCTGCCAGAATGACCGCTTTTTAGGACCTTTTCCCTGCCGCGTGGAAACTGGAGGGAGCTGGGCACAGTGCAGAGATGAAGTCAGGAGCCGAAGTGGGAGTGGAATCAGAGTGGACGCAGGCGGTGCAGAGGGGTTCGATTGGAAGGACTCCTCAGATGGGAGGGCGGGAGTGGCAGCGGGCTAAGAAGTTAGGCCAGAGCCAGGGCCAGGGCCAGGGAGCTGCAGTTGAGCTTGCAGGCCTTGCTGGGACACGCTGTGGGCCTGGACGCGAAGTATGGACTGGAGCCCTAGACAGGGCTTGGAGGGCTGGCCAGGAGTTCTAGGATTAGCTTGCTT